GCTAAGGTATGAGATTTCAAACACATGAGAAGACCTATACCATAACCATAAAATGACCATAAAATTTTACAGCATGGATAAAATATTCTGAAAGATCTAAGAGAGATGAGCCCAGGAAGGGGGGAGGGTAAAATAAGGAGGGAGACACAATTAGAATGGCATCAATTTCTCAACAGGAACACTGGAAGCTAAAAAAAACACAAAACAGGGCGCCTGGGTGGCTCAGTTGGTTAAGCGACTGCCTTTGGCTCAGGTCATGATCCTGGAGTCCCTGGATCGAGTCCCGTATCAGGCTCCCTGCTCAGCAGGGAGTCTGCTTCTCCCTCTGACCCTCCCCCCTCTCATGTACTCGCTCTCTCTCATTCTCTCTCTCTCAAATAAATAAATAAAATCTTAAAAAAAAAAATTAAAAAAAAAACACAAAACAATGATGTTAAAATTAAGAGAAAATAATCTCATCTGGAATTCCATACTCAACCAACCATCCATCAACTAAAAAAATTAAGGTTAAATAAAGACATTTCCAAACAGTCAATATCTCAAAAAGTTAGCCTTTTGTGTACTCTTCCTCAGAAATCTTCTAAAGGATATGCATCACCTGATCAAGGAAATGAACCAAGAAAGAGTGAGATATGTGATCCAAACCAGGACTAAAGCAAAGAGAATTACTGAAATGATGGTAAAGAAATGCCAGAAACACAGCCACACAGGAGGTCTATAGAGCAAGAGGATAGATAGCACTGGGAGGGATGTGGAAGAAAATGAAACTCAGGGATCATGTGATGTGTCGGACAACATCGACAAGAGTTTTACACTTCTGTTAGAAAAGTCTGAGGCTAGGGTGCTTGGGTGGCTCAGTCACTTGAGTGTCCAACTCTTGACTTTGGCTCAAGTTATGATAATCTGGGTCTTGAGATCAAGCCCTACGTTGGGCTCTGTGCTCAGCCAGGAGTCTGCTTGAGATTCTCCTCCTCTCCCTCTGCCACTCCCTCGGCTTGCTCGCTCTCTTTCTTGAATAAATAAATCTTTAAAAAAAAAAACAAAGCCAGACTGAAATAATGACACATGCATAGAAAAACTAAGCAAATTGAAGGGAAAAAAGAAAAACAATGATTAGTTCCAGGGGGAGGAGCAAGATGGCGGAGGAGTAGGAGACCTGGATTTCGTCTGGTCCCAGGAATTCAGCTCTATAGGGATCAAACCATTCTGAACACCTACGAACTCAACAGGAGATCAAAGAAAAGAATAGCAACAACTCTCTGAACAGAAAAGTGACCACTTTCTGGAAGGTAGGACGTGTGGGTAAGTATATCCGAGGCAATATTCAGGAAGATAGCGGGGGAGGGGGCCTCCGTCAGCCGCTTCTGGCAAGTGATAGAGCACAAAATTGGAACTTTTAGAAGTCAGCTCCGCTGAGGGACGTCACTCCAGTGGCTAAGCGGGGGGTGGAACCCTCACTGGGACAGTGTGGTCTCAGGACCCTCGGGGTTACAGAAAGACCGGGGGTGCCTGAGTGTGGCAGAGCTCCCAGGTATCGGAGAGGGGAAGCCGGCTGCAGAGACGGAGCCGAGGAGTGGGCTCTCAGCTCGGGGTGGCCATAAACTGTGATCGGCGGCACAGTCAGGCCACTGCTCCTCCAGCAGGGACCCAACAAGCGGCAGACCCGGGGAGACTCCCCTTCCTCCCCTGGGAGGAGCAGCGCAGGAGCGCACCGCAGGGATTTGCTGGGTTTGGAGACTCCACACCGAGTCGGGTGCCAGAGGTAGAAACGCTTGGTCACAGGCCAGGTGAGCATGGAGTGCGGCCGGAGACCAGGGAGATGGGAGTGATTGACTGCTTTTCTCTGGGGGCGCACTGAGAAGTGGGGCCCAACAAGCAGCAGATCCAGGGAGACTCCCCTTCCTCCCCCCGGGAGGAGCGGCGTGGGAGCGCACCACAGGGATCTGCTGGGTTTGGAGACTACACACCCAGGTGGGTGCCAGAGATAGAAACACTTGGTCACAGGTCAGGTGAGCACGGAGTGCGGCCGGAAACCGGGGAGACGGGAGTGATTGACTGCTTTTCTCTGGGGGCTCACTGAGAAGTGGGGCCCCCGAGTTCTCGGCTCCTCCAGGGCAGAGATTGGGAGGCTGCCATTTTCACTCTCGTCCTCCAAAGCTGTATGGAAAGCTTGCAGGGAACAAAAGCTCCCGAGAGCAAACCCAAACAGATTACTTAGCCCGGACCTGGCAAGGGTGGGGCAATTCCGCCTCCAGCAAAGACCTTTGGGAATCAGGGCAACAGGCCTCTCCCCCAGAAGATCAGGAAGAACAGCCAGCCAAGACCAAGTTTACCGATCAATGAAAACAGCAGAACTCCAGTGCTAGGGGAATACTGCTCATAGAATTCATGGCTTTTTTCCCATGATTCTTTAGTCTTTCAAAGTTAATTTTTTTTTTACTTTTTTTTTTGAATTTTTATTTTTCCCTTTTTCAACCAATATCTTATCAATCCCTTTTTTAAAAAATCTTTTTTATTTTCATTTTTAGAGTCATATTCTATCCCTTCATAGTAGTTACCCTTATTTTTGGTATATATATATAAGTGGTTCTTCTCTTTAAAATTTTGGGATACAATTTCTTCTAACAGATCAAAATATACCCTAAATCTCTAGTATATGGTTTTGTTCTAGTCTCCTGCCTGATCACATTCTCTCCCTTTTTTTTTTTAAATCTTCTTCTTTCTTTTTTCAACCAACTTCTTATCAATTCCTTTTATAAAATCTTTTATAATTTTCATCTTTACAGTCATATTCTGTCCCTTCATCATATTAACCTTTATTTTTGTACATATATAAGTTTTTCTTTCTTTAAAATTTTGGGAGGCACTTTCTTCTAACAGATCAAATACACCCAAAATCTACTGTGTGGCACTGATCTATGCACCAGCCTAATCATATTTGATCATATTCTGTTTTCTTTGTTTTCTTTTGTTTTTGTTTGTTTCTATCTTTTTCTTTTTTTTCTTTCTTTCCCTTTCTTTTCCCCCAGTTTCAGGTCTTTTCTGATTTGTTTAGTGTATATTTTCTGGGGACGTTGTTACCCTGTTAGCATTTTGTTCTCTCATTCATCTATTCTCCTCTGGACAAAATGACAAGGCAGAAAAAATCCTGCTTCTCCCTCTACCACTCCCCCTACTTGTGTTCCCTCTCTCACTGTGTCTCTCTCTGTCAAATAAATAAATAAAATATTTTTTAAAAAATGGAGGCTCTAACTGCTAGGATAAGTGAGGCAGAAGAGAGAATCAGTAATATAGAAGACCAAATGATGGAAAATAAAGAAGCTGAGACAAAGAGAGATAAACAACTACTGGATCATGAGGGCAGAATTCGAGAGATAAGTGATACCATAAGACGAAACAACATTAGAATAATTGGGATCCCAGAAGAAGAAGAAAGAGAGAGAGGGGCAGAAGGTATAATGGAGCAAATTATAGCAGAGAACTTCCCTAATTTGGGGAAGGAAACAGGCATCAAAATCCAGGAGGCACAGAGAACCCCTCTCAAAATCAATAAGTCAGACATAGAAAGATAAATACTGTATGATTTTGCTTATATGTAGAATCTAAAAAGCAAAACAAATGAACAAAGCAGAAACAAAATGAGAACAAACTGGTAGTTGCCCAGGGGAAGGGGATTAGGGGATGAGCAAAATGGATGAGGGGAGTACATGGTACAGGCTTCTAGTTATGGAATGAAAAAATCATGGGATGAAATGTACAGCATAGGGAATACAGTCAAAAGTATTGTTATGGTATTGTTACAGTGTCTGTATGGTGAGAGGTGGTAGTAGCTACAGTTGTGGTTAGCACAGCATAATGTACATCTGAAACTAATGTAACATTATGTATCAACTATACTTCAATTAAAAGATGTTCAATTAAAGACCCCTGTCGTTACAGGGGTATGAGGGGGAAAAAACACATTATTTTAATTTGTACTTCCACCAAACCCAAAATAATTCTTAAGTACATACAAATTTTCTCAAAACTATATGATATTTCTTAGATGCTGTCAAAGATAAACATTAATGATATAAGTAGTCAATTAATGTTAACAGACAATGCTTAAAAGTTGCTTTAAAAAAATTGTTGGGGTGCCTGGGTGGCTCAGTCAGTCAAACTCTTGATTTCGGCGCAAGTCATGATCTTGGGGTCCTGTGATCAAGCCCCATGTGGGGCTCCATGCTCAGCAGAGAGTCTGCTTAAGGTTCTCTCTCCTCTCCCTCTCTCTCTCTCTCTCTCTCTCACAAAGAAATCTTTAAAAACAATTGTTTTTTATCTCCATGGGCTTGTGTACATGTAGTTATAATTTTATGGAATATAAATGGACTTTATATTTCTAATCAATCTAAAGTCAGAATAACTAAGTATATAATTTTATGCAAAAATCACAGTTCATAGAGTAAATTTATAGTATATCATCATCTTCCTCAGAGAGTATCATGACTGCCATGGTTTCTCCCTTCTTATTTAACAACTGCTCTACAGATATCTATATTCTCTCAGAATTTCAGAGGCTCCCACAGTGGTTTGTACCTTTGGATTCAATAATTCTTCATTAAGCATTAAAAAAAAAAAAAAAGTAGCCAGAAATTTCCTGGACTATGGGTATAATCTCTCTAGTATGACCAAGCTTCCAAACACAAAATATTTTAAGATTCTATAAATTTAATACTTAATAATTTAACTTATACTACTATCAGAAAAATCTTTTAATAAAATAATCTCAAAAATAGATTTCTTGGGGTGCCTGGGTGGCTCAGTCATTAAGCGGCTGCCTTCGGCTCAGGTCATGGTCCCAGGGTCCTGGGATCGAGCCCCACATCGGGTTCCCGGCTCCGCAGGAAGCCTGCTTCTCCCTCTCCCACTCCCCCTGCTTGTGTTCCCTCTCTCGCTGTGTCGCTCTCTGTCAAATAAATAAAATCTTAAAAAAAAAAAAAAAGATTTCTTTTGCAGATTACCTTGCCTGCTGTATCAGGATGATTAGTCTTGATTTCATATTCCAGCCTGTATTGAATGTAATCCAGATCAGAGTCAGCTTTCTGGAACTAAAGATCAGCACAAATAATTTTTTTGTGAACCAAAAGACATATTAATAAACATGATACTGTTAACTATTCTTTCTTTTTTCCTCTTATTTTTTTAGTATTTCAATAATGTGAAATACACTAATTTTGGAAATACAGAAATAAAAAAAATAAATAAAACTTCCATCATCTATAATACCCATGCTCTATAAAAATTTAAAAACTAGTTAACATTTTGAAAGTTGTTTCTCTATGCATCTCTCTTAGATTTAGAGCCAAAATTAAGACACCAGCACCACTGTCACATATTAATATAAGAACTAACAATGGTTTCCAAAATTCCCAGGGTTGAAACTCTCATCAGTGAGGCAGCGTTTTTCTACCTTTGGTAGAAAATATTCAAGCTAAACCACAGAACAAATTTGTTTTCAGGGATACCTGCAATTTTACCATTATCTGCAACCCCATTAAACAATGAACTACTAGTATTTGCCACAAAGACCAAAATTAGAGACCCTAAAGTGACATAAATTATACAAGGAAAGCTACATACAGTACAGGAGTAGCAGTCTAAATTACCTCAGTTTACTGAACCTGGGTCCCAGCATGGGACCTTGATCTGCAGTAAACCCCAAAGGGAGAAAAAAAGGGAAAAACTGCCACAGGCTGTAAAATACATGTGTGCATACATACAGAAAAGTAGGGAAGGATATAGATCAGAGTGCTGAAAGTGGTGTATCTCTAAAAGTGGTATATAGTATTCCTGACTTTTGGAAATTCTGCATCTTTTACATAATCTTAAACATGTGCTGCCTTGAATTTATCAGGGAAACCACCATGGTCCTTTGAGTTTACTATGGAAAGCAAAACAGGGTTTCCTCAGGGATGGTCTCCCATTCCTAGCCCACAACCAAGAAGACTGCTTTGGAGAGAGGGTTCAGACCTTACCATGGGCTTAGGCTCTGGACTAAATATTGGTTCTTGAAATTTTGAAACCTTAGTGGAAAGAACAAAAGCCAGCAAAAACTATTAAAAGTAGTTACCAGGTCTAATGAGAAATGACATACAGATACTTTTGTTATACAAAAGGTAAACCAAGAGTTCTACTTTGGAGGGTAGATTTTTAAAAAAATAACTCTCAGAAGTTAAAATGCTTTTAGGGTCAGAAGCTGTCAAATTGAACATAATATTAGAGATACACTAAAGCTTCTATCTCCAATAATTTCTCTCATTACTGGCCTAAATTAGAATGGATACTTTGTGATTACCAAAAGTCCATCTTTATAACCAAAAACTTTTGGAATAGAAATAGAAAGAAAAAAAGAAAGTCAGTTTTGTTTTGTTTTTTAAAGATTTTATTTATTTGACAGATAGAGAGCACAAGTAGGCAGAGCAGCAGACAGAGGGAGAGGGAGAAGCAGGCTCTCCGATGAGCAGGGAGCCCAATGTGGGGCTCCATCCCAGGACCCTGGGATCATGCCCTGAGCTGAAGGAAGCTGCTTAACCAACTGAGCCACCCAGGTGCCCCAAGAGTTTTTATTTTTAAATTTTTTCTAAGAATCTGTATCTGATTTGCATCTCTAACAGCAGAGAGTTGCTGTGAACCAGAAAAACAAATATAGAAGTTCTGAATTAAAAACAGTACTTACAAACAAAACAAAACAAAACAAAAAAATGGTACTTAAAATGTTTTTCAGAAAAGGGCACCTGGGAGGCTGAGTTGGTTGAGTGTTCAACTCTTGGTTTTGGCTCAGGTCATGATCTCAGGGTCATGGAATCCAGCCCTGAGTGGGGCTCCGAACTCGGCATGGATTCTCTCCCTCTACACCCCCCTCTAAAACTAAAATAAATAAATAAAATAATTTTTTAAAAATGTTTCTCAAAAATGAAGGCTTTTCATTTGCTTATATAATTGTTGGAGTAGATGCTATGATTAAATCATCCAATAATTAGACTTCATTAAGCAGACTAATAATTACTGCATATGGGGATGCCTGAGTGGCTCAGTCAGTTTAAGTGTCTGACTTCCACTCAGGTCATGATCCAGGGTCTTGGGATCAAGCCCCACGTCGGGCTCCCTGCTTGGCAGGGGAGTCTGCTTCTCCCTCTCCCCTAACTCGTGTGATCTCTCTCTCACTCACTTACTCTCTCTCTCAAATAAATAAATAAAATCTTTAAAAAAAAATTAAGGGGTGCCTGGGTGGCTCAGTCGGTTAAGCATCTGCCTTCTGCTCAGGTCATGATCCCAGGATCCTGGGATGGAGTCCCCGCATTGGCCTCCCTACTCAGTGGGGAGTCTGCTTCTCCCTCTATCCTTCCCCCTGCTCGTGATCTCTCTCTCACACTCTCTCTCAAATAAATAAAATCTTTTTAAAAAGTTAAAAATTAAAAAAAAATTACTACATATGTTTGTGTATGTATATAAAGAAAATTCCTGGGGCACCTGGCGAGCTCAGTCAGTAGAGCATGAGACTCTTGATCTCAAGGGTCCTGAGTTCAAGCCCCACATTGGGCGTGGAGCTTACTTAAAAAAATTTTTTTTAATTAAAATACTAAAAGAAAGAAAATTCCTGTTGGCATAATTTCCCATATTGGAATACGCTCAGGGATTAACATTTTCTTTACATAAAAAAGGCATACAAACCTATATTAACATTTGGATGGAGTATGGGGAAAGGGACAAGGAAAAGGGCAAATCAAATTATTAAACAAAGACTATGCATTCAAGACCTGATTTGTTTGTTTTAATTATTGAAAAAGACTGCAATTCCATAGCTTTATATATAATTTAAAACGTTATTTAACAGTCTAAAGCATAATTTTTTTTTAAAGATTTTATTTATTTATTTGATAGAGCAAGAGAGCACAAGCAGGGGGAATAGTAGAGGGAAAGGGAGAAGCAGGTTCCCCGCTGAGCAGGGAGCCCGATGTGGGACTTGATCCCAGGATCCTGGGATCATGACCTGAGCCGAAGGCAGATGCTTAACCATCTGAGCCACCCATGCGCCCTAAAGCATAATTTTTTTAAAAAGATATTATTTTTAAGTAATCTCTGCAGCCTATGTGGGGCTCAAACTCAACACTGAGATCAAGACTCGTGTGTTCAGGGCACCTGGGTGGCTCAGTCGGTTGAGCATCTGACTCTTGATTTCAGCTCAGGTCATGATCTCTGGGTCATGAGGTCCCCCTACCCCCTACCTTGGGCTCCACACTCAGGAGAGAGTCTGCTGAGATTCTCTCTCCCTCTCCCTCTGCCCCTCCCACCCTAAAATAAATAAATCTTTAAAAAAAAAATTTACAAAAACGGGCAGAAGAGGGGTGTCTGGGTGACTCAGTCAGTTAAGGGTCTGCCTTTGGCTCACGTCATGATCCCAGGGTCCTGGGATCAAGCCCCATGTGAGGTTCCCTGCTCAGCAAGGAGTCTGCTTCTCCTTCCCCCTCCGCTCCCCCCACAACTCCCACTCATTCTCTCATAAATAAATAAAATCTTTAAAAAAAAAAAAATGGGCAGAAGACATGAACAGACATTTCTCCAAGGAAGACATATAGATGGCAAATTTAGACACATGAAAAGATGCTCAACATCACTCATCATCAGGAAAATGAGAATTAAAACCATAATGAGACATCACTCCATACCTGTCAGAATGGCTAAAATAAAAAATTCAAGAAACAGTAAGTGTTGGTGAAGATATAGAGAAAAAGGCACCCTCGTGCACTGTTGGTAGGAATGCAAACTGGTACAGCCACTGTAAGACGGTATGGAGGTTCTTCAAAAAGTTAAAAATAGAACTACCTTATGATCCAGTAATTGCACCACTGAGTATTTATCCAAAGAATACAAAAACACTAATTCAAGGGGATAGATTCATCCCTATGTTTATTGCAGCATTATTTACAATAGTCAAACTATGAAAGCAGCCCAAGTGTCCCTGGATAAATGAATTGATAAAGACTATGTGATAGGGCGCCTGGGTGGCTCAGTTGGTTAAGCGACTGCCTTCGGCTCAGGTCATGATCCTGGAGTCCCGGGATCGAGTCCCGCATCGGGCTCCCTGCTCAGCAGGGAGTCTGCTTCTCCCTCTCCCCCCTCTCGTGCGCTTTCTCTCTCTCACTCTCTCTCTCAAATAAATAAATAAAATCTTAAAAAAAAAAAAAAGACTATGTGATATATGGGGCGCCTGGGTGGCTCAGTCAGTTAAGCATCTGCATTCAGCTCAGGTCATGATCTCAGGGTCCTGGGATCAAGCCCCGCATCAGGCTCCCTGCTCAGCAGGGAGTCTGCTTCTCTCTCTCTCCCTCTGCCCCTCCCCCCTGATTGTGCTTTCTCTCTCTTTCAAATAAATAAATAAAATCTTAAAAGAAAGAATATGTGATTTACATATATATGTGATTTATATATACATATACATATATATAATGGAATATTATTTGGCCATAAAAAAAGAATGAAAATTTGCCATTTCCAACAACATGGACAGAGCTAAAGAGTATAATGCTAAGTGAAATAAGCCAGTCAAAGACAAATGCCATATGATTTCACTCATATGTGGAATTTAAGAAACAAATGAACAAATGGAAAAAAGAGAGAGAGAAACCAAAAAACATAATCACAGAGAGCAAATAGATGGTTACAAGAAGGGAGGTGGGGGGAATGGGTGAAAATAAGTGAAATAGATGAAGGGTATTAAGAGTACACTTTTATCCTGATGAACACTGAGTAATACACAGAACTGCTGAATCACTATATTTTACACCTCGAAGTATTTAGCCTATATTTATTTATTTATTTTAAGATTTTATTTATTTATTTGACAGAGAGAGACAGCGAGAGAGGGAACACAAGCAAGGGGAGTGTGAGAGGGAGAAGCAGGCTTCCCACGGAGCAGGGAGCCCATTGCGGGGCTCGATCCCAGGACCCTGGGATCATGACCTGAGCCAAAGGCAGACACCTAACAACTGAGCCACCCAGGCGTCCCTAGCCTGTATTTAAACAAACAAGTATTTAGCCTGAATTAAAGCAAACAAACAAACAGAATCTGTATTCTAGGAGCCCTTAACTTGTTTATAAAACAGAAATTCTTAAACCGGGGCGCCTGGGTGGCTCAGTTGGTTAAGCGACTGCCTTCGGCTCAGGTCATGATCCTGGAGTCCCGGGATCGAGTCCCGCATCGGGCTCCCTGCTCGGCGGGGAGTCTGCTTCTCCCTCTCCCACTCCCCATTTGTGTTCCCTCTCTCGCTGTGTCTTTCTCTGTCAGATAAATAAATAAAATCTTTAAAAAAAAAAAAAAAAAGAAATTCTCAAACCTGTGTGTGTGTGTTTTTAAAGACTTTATGTATTTGAGAGAGAGAGAGAAAGAGCAATCAAGTGGTGGGGGGTGGACAAAGCGGGAGAAGCAGATTCCCCGCTGAGCAGGGAGCCAGAGGAGGGGCTCAATCCCAGGACCTGAACAGAAGGCAGACACCCAACCCACTGAGCCACCCAGGCACCCCCTATGTGTGTTTTTTAACTTGATATTTTAGTTCTGATTAAAGTTTAACTACCATAATCCCAAAGACCATTTAACAATGTCTTCTTTTCAAGAGAGCTGTTTTAGCTATGGCTTCCTGTAATACCTGGAGGTCCACAATGTATTAAAATCATCAAACAGTATCAATAATAAGTGGTTCCTGCTTTTAAGTAAATTATATTTTAATAAGATACCAAAGAGTGTGCTTCCAATCAATGATATGATGGAGTCAGCTAAATTTTCAAGTATGTTTGTAAACCCATTGTTAAACACAGGCATAACTAAAAATTAAGTTACATAAATTTACCAGTAAATAAATTATTAAAAACAAATATATACTCAAAAATTATAACTTCCTAGTGATTTTACTATATTTTACTATTATATACGCTCTTGAGATCTATCTATGTATATAGTGAAAATACTATATCATGTGCTACTGTGCATGTCTTCCCAACTCCACTTTCAATGACATCATGCTGGTAGCTTGAAATTGGCCAGGGTAGGACTATTTACACCAGGGAAATTGGCAAATGCTCAAATTCAGGATTTCCTACCTCCTCCTCCCCCTAGCTGCATTTATATATATACTCACTTCTGCTTTCAAAAGATATTTTAAAATTCCCAACCCCCTGAAATAATGTGCCCATATTTCTATTGGAAAAATATTTCAGAAGATAAACTGAATTTTAAACAGACTTTCAAAAACAGGGGAAGGACAGAATGGGGAGTTACCATTTAATGGGTCCAGAGTTTGAGTTTGGAAAGATGAAGAAGTTCTGGAAATGGGTGGTGGTTGTGGTTGTACAAGAATGTGAATGTACTTAATACCACTAAACTGTAAACTTAAAATGGCAAATTTTGTTATATATATTTTATCACAATTAAAAATTAAAAAAAAAGACGGGAAAAACAGCTTGAGAGAAGAATGTAATCCTCTGTGAAGAACTAAACAGAGTATTTCATGATAATACACAGGGGAAGTATTTACTTATTAGTGAAGTCAGTGGGCTTGGGAATAAGCAGGGAACAAATAAGATAAAAGGATACCAATGCAATGTTGAAAAATAGAAAAACAATCAAGATTTTCTGATTTGAACCCTTCATTTTATAAATGACGAAATAGTCTAAGTGATTTGCCTCTACTTCTATTTTCATTACTATGTTTCTTATGCAGTTAGATGAAAGTCTATACATGATATACAGGACATTAAAATCAATAAAAGTCACATAGATGGAGGCAGGGAATGTAAAGACTAGCTAAAGTTAAATTTAAAGCTTTTTTTGTTTTTATGTTTCAAATCTAGTATCACTGGTTAGGCTACTAAAAAATTCCCTCTGAACACAACCTGGTATTATGGTCCAGAAAAAAGAAAATAAAAGGATTGGGCTACATGGTAGAAGTTCTAGCCCTGGTATCACTAACAAGCTATGTGGCCTTAGGTAAGTCTTCCATCTCTCTGGGTCTCTTCTACTAAATGAGAGTCGGAAATCTAAGGTCCTTTTTAACACTAATATTCTATTATTTCATAATACTATAAATAAACCCAAGTTTAATTTATCAAAATGTAAAAATTTAGAAAAGATTAATTTCCTTCTTCTAAGATATTAAAACTTGACATTTGAGTTTCAGATTTTAATGTTTATATTAAGAATTAGCTTCTACTATTTGTTTTCTTCCTAAACAAAGATGACTGTTGCTTCGGTTTCAGCTATATAGTTTCTGCAACCTGCCCATTGTTCTTCCCAAACACCAAAACCCTATAAGCAATATTGCACTACTCAGAGCTATTTACACAGCAGAGACAATATCGATAGGGTTCTAGGATCTGGTCATAAACAGAAAATTTTTTAGTCACATGGTAGGAAATTTGCTGACCAATTACTATAGTGTCAAAAATTCATTAGCGTCTGATTAAGGGAGCAAACTGATGCTAAAAAATTTCATTCACAGCCCTCCTCAGTTATAAATTTGCCTCTTAAAGCCTAGTTAACAGTGAGGTTGCTCTTTAATTAACTTTAGCTACCTATCTCATTTTTAGGAGCATTAGAATATTTAAAATAAAACTAGTGAATTTTTTAGAGTGGGGAGGGAAAGAGGGAGACAGAGAGAGAGAATCTTAAGCAGGCTCCATGCTCAGTGCTGAGCCCAACATGGCACTTGACCTCATGACCCTGTCATGACCTGAGCCATCAAGAGTCAGAAGCTTAACCAACTGAGCTACCCAGGTGCCCCAAAACTAGTGAATTTTTTAAAACCCAAGACATTCATATTTCAGAAGCCAGTTTTCTTCTAAATCAGTAATAAAAATAAATGGAAACTTTTATGCCCATCTTACGAATGATAAATAAAATATGCAATTTAGCTGGGAAAAGTCCATTGAAATCAACATTAAAGCCCCCCAGACAGCCAAATTACATTCTGCCAATTGGACATCCTTGGAAACAGACTGGGACTGTAAGGAAGATACTATATAAACAGAAAAAGGAATAGTTTAGGGAATAATTTTGAGTTTTAGAGTATGCTACACATTGCATAAACCTATAATATTCTGTCTGTTATACTAGTTTTCATTATAATCATCAGCTTAACGCTTTATACCACTCAACTATTTGGCAGCAAGGAGAAAAGAACTACAGCCTAACTTAAAAATACTTCCTTTTTTTTTTTTTAAAATATTTTATTTATTTATTTGACAGAGACATGGCGAGAGAGGGAACACAAGCAGGGGGAATGGGAGAGGGAGAAGTAGGCTTCCCGCCGAGCAGGGAGCCCGATGCGGGGCTCGATCCCAGGACCCTGGGATCATGACCTGAGCCAAAGGCAGATGCCTAACAACTGAGCCACCCAGGCGCCCCCAAAATACTTCTTTTTTACAAACCTATAGATTCTTACTGGCACAATAATGCTCCCTTTCAAAAGAACCAGTGCTCTAAAAAAGCAAACACATCCTCATGTGAGCGAGTTTGCCTCAACAGCATCAAACCACAGAAAATGAAGAAATATGGCAGTCTTGTCTATGATGAGAGAAGTTGGTAGAGGTACATTCTAGACTCAGTAGCTAGGCTTAGAAACACATTTTCCATAGAAACATTGTTTTAAGAGAGAACTGGGCATATTAATACTTCCAGATCTAGGTTAGCAATATTATCAACCAAAGAAACTAATACTTAATGAACACACCCCTTTCTTTACATTCCCCTCTCTCTAATGCAGATTTAGAAACACCTTTATCTACTCTCATTTTATTTTGTTCATGGCTCTAGCTTACCATTTCATTTATTATATTATAATCATCTGTCTGCTTGATAGTGTCACCACTTGATTTCAAATGTTTTGCTGGCAAGAGCCCTGTCTTCCTTTTTATTTATATCCCCTAGTTTTCTTTTTTTAAAGATTTTATTTATTTATTTACTTATTTATTTGAGAGCTAATGAGAGAGACTGAAAGAACAAAATGGGGGCAGAGGCAGAGGGAGAAGCAGACTCCCTGTGGAGCAGGGAGACTGACATGGGACTCGATCCCAGGACCCTGGGACCATGACCTGAGCTGAAGGCAGTCACTTAACCGACTGAGCCACCCAGACGCCCTATCACCCTAGTTTTTAATATACAGCCTAATGCTCAATGACAAAAAGGAACAGATGAAAGAACATTCATTCCTTTGAAGAACAATCTGGGAACCCAACCACCCTCTAAAACCTGTCTTAAGAAATATTAAAAAAAAAAAAAAAAAAAGAAAGAAAGTTCCTAACAAGTTGAGGACCACCCCAAATGTATACACAATCACAACTGTTTTTTTTTGTATTTCTACTGGAGGGCTGAACTATCATCTAGCCTCTTCCAGATAGAACACATGTCAATGCATGTCTGGAACAGATAGGCAATAATATGCACAAGCACCAGGTTGCACATGTTATTGCCAGCAAATAGCAACACAAAAGCAGAAGAAACTGAGAAGCTTCAAGTTCATCAGTTCCTAATCTGCAGGCATTTATGAAACAATTATTAGAGTAGTACACATAAGCAAGCTCCTGCCTGTAAAAGATTGGTTTTATCAGTTGACCGTAGTCTAACTTTTTAAAGCTTTCAGGATCCTAGATTATTTATGTTAATTGTGCTATGGACACATAATGGACTACAGGGAGAGATTTTCATATTACACTGAACAAACTTGGTTTAGAAAAATAGGGGCACCTGGGTGGTCCAGTCAGTTAAGCATCCCACTCTTGGTTTTGGCTCCAGTCATGATCTCGGCACCTTGGGATGGAGCTCCACGTCAGGCTCTGTGCGCAGCAGAGTCTACTTGAGACTCTCTCTCCCTCTCCCTCTGCCCCTTCCCACCGTGCTCTCTCTCTCTAAAATAAATAAATAAATCTTAAAAAAAAAAGGAAAAAGTTAAAAATACACCTGCAAAAAAAATCTAAAATATACAACATAGACATAATACTCATAGAATTGTAGGGATCTTGGGCGCCTGAGTGGCTCAGTTGGTTAAGCGACTGCCTTTGGCTCAGGTCATGATCCTGGAGTCCCGGGATCGAGTCCCGCATCGGGCTCCCTGCTCAGCGGGGAGTCTGCTTCTCCCTCTGACCCTCCTCCCTCTCATGCCCTCTGTCTCTCACTCTCTCTCTCTCAAATAAATAAATAAAATATTTAAAAAAAAAAAAAAGAATTGTAGGGATCTTTTTTATCTGTCTTCTAATTAAATTACATGTATAATTAAAGCAAAATTTTTAAGAGTAAGTGCATTCTGTACTAAGTCACTCTTCATTTAAAGATCATTGGGTTTGGGGCACCTGGCTGGCTCAGTCAGTGGGGCATGTGATTTTTGATCTCAGGGCTGTAGGTTCAAGCCCCACATTGGGTACAGAGATTACTTAAAAATAAAATCTAGGGCGCCTGGGTGGCTCAGTTGGTTAAGCGACTGCCTTCAGCTCAGGTCATGATCCTGGAGTCCCGGGATCGAGTCCCGCATCGGGCTCCCTGCTCGGCAGGGAGTCTGCTTCTCCCTCTGACCCTCCTCCCTCTCATGCTCTCTGTCTCAAATAAATAAAATCTTTAAAAAAAATAAAATAAAATAAAATCTATATTAAAAAAGTTTTTAAGGGGCGCCTGGGTGGCTCAGTCGTTAAGCGTCTGCCTTTGGCTCAGGTCATGATCCCAGCATCCTGGGATTGAGCCCCGCATCGAGCTCCCTGCTCAGCAGGAAGCCTGATTCTCCCTCTCCCACTCCCCTTGCTTGTGTTCCTCTCTCTCTCTGTCAAATAAATAAATTTAAAAAAAAAAAATCTTGAAAAAAAATTTTTTTAAAAAGATCATTGGGGTTTCCCAATGCCTATAGAATTAACTCCAACTCTTAGTATAATCCTTATGACATTAATATGCTCCCCACAGATGCTTCATATTTTACACCTCAGCCACACTGAATTTCATTGTCCCAAATATGCCAGGCTATTTTTTAAAAATCACTGATCTCTAATACTGCCTGGCAAATAGCACAGTTCAAATATTATATTGTATAATATAGAGAGAATATTGTATAATAGATTATAATATTGTATGATATGTGTATATAAAATACTCGTGATAAATCATCTTAAAATTACAAAATTAGAAAATGTCATCAATATGACAAAACAGCTACATTCCCAAATTACAGAACACAAAATAATGGACATACATGAAACAAAAACTTAGTATAATCTTGAGTGAGTACATGTTTGGCAGCAATTCTTACTTACATATATATACTGAAAAGGATAGAAGATTAATGATGTGTGGTCACTCAATTTCAAATACTTTCAACCTCTGAATAGCAGATATTCTTTTCTTCTTTTTAAGATTTATTTATTTATTTTAGAGAGAGAAAGAGAGAGAGCATGAGTGGGAGGGGCAGAGGGAGAGAGAGAGAGAAACCCAAGCCGACTCGAGGCTGAGTACAGAGCCCATTGCAGGGCTCAATCTCATGACCCTAAGATCATGACCTGATAGGAAACCAAGAGTTGGACACTTAACTGACTGTGCTACCCAGGTGCCCCTGAATAGCAGATATTCTTAATACTGGGCCCAGGAAACCATGGCGGCAAAGGTGTACAAATCCCTACTTACTAGTTAGCAAGTTAATATATCTGTATACATTTTTCTGGTGAGGTGGAGCTCGTCTAAAGATCCATGGCATAAAGGGAAAAAAAAAAAAAGATTAAAAACCATCACCTCAAGAGAAATGTACATTCTATCTTAGTGTCAATGACAAGGTAACAAAGATTACCAAATAAACTTAACATCTGTACTCCTAGATGGAGCAGAGGGAAAAATGGAAAGTACAGTAAGTACCAAGAGATAGTCTGCTTTTTTGTCATTCAAAAAAAGTGTGATTGCTTTTGAAACCCAAATGCTAAGCATATTGCTGGGTACAAAAAAGGCAGATACTGTCCTCTCCTTATTTATTTATTTATTTATTTATTTATTTATTTATTTATTTAATTTTTTTATTCCTCTAGTACTAGCCCACCCTAGTAACATTTACTGAAAGAAAGCATGAAGTACTGTCATTTACAATTAGGCAGATTGAGTGGGGAAAGGAGGCATTTAATAAAAGTTACACAACTCATATTTCCTAACAAAAATAAATTGTTCTAAAAAGTTAAACGTATTTTACAATCACTGTCACTACAAGAAAATCTTAGCAAAAACGGAGATTATTTCCTCATTTATAAAATGAGAAAAACACTGAATCAAAGAATCAAGGATTGACTTATTCAAACTTTTAAAATGTTATGTACTGAGACAAGTCAGAAGTATAACCTTTTAAAGTCTAATTGAGAATAAATTTTATTTATCAGAGATATTCTCAATATTGAAACTTCGTATTATATTTGGGTAACAAAGGTAAGATATTTTTTATTTGTTTCAAAACTTTTACTTTGCTCCAAGGAAGAAGAAAATTTCCCTCTTGGTTTTAAATGAATTCATATATATGGTCTTTCATACCCTACTATTGAAATTGAAGATGTGTTCACATCAAAATATAATTCAAGGCAGAAGAAACCTTCCTTCTCCTCACCATCTGGTACATTTTTTTATTCTTATTTTCTTGTATGTAATCTTTTACCGAGAAAACTTAATGGTTCTACAAGCTCTGGGATATAAAGAAAACTCAATGATATATCTAAAAGGAAATGTATTATACTGTTATCAATTCACATTTTTTTTAAAGTAGGCTCCATGCCCAGTGTGGGTCTTGAACTCAAGACTCGGGGATCAGTAGTCACATGTATACTGACTGAGCCAGGTAGGTACCCCTCAATTCACTTCTTTAGAGAAAACAAATGAGGTCCTCAAATTAAGCAGTTTTCTTCCCTCAGTCCCTCGCCATGTAATGTCTTACCTGATTAAAAAACACAAAATCCTACCCAGTGCTTGAAATGCCCACTAGAGAATGGTAGGAAATTAAAAGCCAAAGAAGAGGAAAACAGCTACACTTTAGGCCAAGAGAGGTAACTCAGATTTTATAAATAAAATTTGGGAATAAAATGGTTTTCTCATAAGCAGTCATGTTCTTCATTCCCTACCAAATGATGTCCTGGAGTCCATGCCTAATATCTCACATATCTTTCTTCCCTCCGGTATCCATTCTCCTGGCTTTTAAGGACATTTGTTTAACAAATAGCTTACTTTTTTCCTAAAATCTCTGAAATTTATTTAGAATACATGTTATGGGGTGCCTGCGTGGCTCAGGTCATGATCCCAGGGTCCTAGGATCAAGCCCTGCATCAGGCTCCCTGCTCAGCAAGAAGCCTGCTTGTCCCTCTCCCACTCCCCCTGCTTGTGTTCCCTCTTTCACTGTGTCTCTCCCTGTCAAATAAATAAATAAAATCTTAAAAAAAAAAAAAAAAAAGAATACATCTTGTAACAGTTCTTGCTCTAATTTTAAGATATAGAGCCATAGTAGAAATCACACTAAGCTGGTTATGAAAAATTTATAAACAAGACCTATACACTGAAAACTACAAAACACTGTTGAAAGAAATTTTAAAGACCTAATAAGTAGAGAGATAACATTCAAGCATCAGAAAACTCATTATTGTTAAACTATCAATTCTCCCTAAATTGTTCTCTAGATTCAACACGATCCCAACCAAAATCCCAGAAAGCTTTTTTTTGTAGAAATTGACCAAAAAAAAAAGAAAAAAAGCTTATTTGGAAATGCAAAATAATTTAAAAGTTTTAGAAAACAAGAGCAAAGTTTGAGGCCTTACACTTGATGATTTCAAGACTTACTATATACAGAGCCAAACCATTAGAGACTTAACTATAGGAAACAAACTGAGGGTTGCTGGAGGGGCCGTGGGTGGGGGGATGGGGTAACTGGGTGATGGGCATTAAGGAGGGCACTTCATATAATGGACACTGGGTGTTATATGCAACTGATGAATCACTAAAATCTACCTCTGAAACAAAAAACAACAAAGGACTTATTATAAGGCTACAACAACCATGACAGTATGATACGACATAACTGAACAAAACAGAGTTCAAAAATAAATAGACTGGGGTGCCTGGGTGACTCAGTCAGTTCAGTGACCAACTCTTGATTTCGGCTCAGGTCATGATCTCAGGGTTGTCAGCGCAGAGTGTGCTTGAGATTCTCTCTCTCCCTCTCCCTCTGCCCCTTACCGCGTTCACGCACATGCTCTCTCTCAAATAAATAAATAAAATCTTTAAATAAATAAATAAACCAGCCCATACATACATGTTCAACTGATTTGTTACAAAGGAGCTAAGGGTAATTCAACAGGGATATGATAGTCTTTTCAACAAATGGTACCAGAACAGAGGAATATCCATATGCAAAACAAATAAATAAATGAAAAGACCTTCTACTCTCACTTTATACCACATACAAAAATTAACTCTAAATGGACAGAGATCTAAACACAAAATCTGGGGCGCCTGGGTAGCTCAGTCAGTTAGGGGCCCAACTCTTGGTTTCAGCTCAGGTCAGGATCTAGGGCTCCTGGGATCAATATCCATGTCAGGCTCCACACTCAGCAAGGTGTCGCTTCCCCTCTCCCTTTGCCCCTCCCCCTACTCATGCACACTCTCCCTCTCTAAAACAAATAAATAAATCTTTAAAAATAAAATAAATGTAAAAACTAAAACTATAAATCTTCTAGAAGAAAACATTTGTGACCTTGAGTTAGGCAAAGATTTCTGAAATAGAAGAAAAAAGCATAATCCATAGCACAATAGATGTATAAATTGAACTTCATCAAAATTTTTTATGTGAAAGGGCAAATAACAGAAAAAATTAAAGGACTCTTGTAATAGTTAAAAAGACAAACATCTTGGAGGTGCCTGGGTGGCTCTGTCAGTTAAGGGGCTGCCTTTGGCTCAGGTCCTGATCCCATGGTCCTGGGATGGAGCCCCACCTCAGGCTCCCTGCTCATTGGGGAGGTTGCTTCTGCCCCTCCCCCCTGCTCATGTGCGGGCACGCTCTCTCTTTCTCTCTTAATTAAATAAATAAAATCTTTTAAAAAAGAAGACAAATATCTCAATTTGAAAATAGGCAAAAGATTTCAACAGATATTCACTAAAGATATTCCAACTGCAAATAAGCACATGAAAAGATATTCAATATCATTAGCCATTAAAGAAATGCAAATTCAAACTATAAGCAGATACCACTATACAATTATTAGAATGGCTAAAATGAAGAAGACTGACATGGTTGACTCGGTTTTGGCTCAGGTCATGATCTCATGGGTCATGGGATTGAGCCCCACATCGGGCTCTGTGCTCGTGTGGAGTCTGCTTGGGATTCTATCTCTCCCTCTCCCTCTGCCCCTCCCACTGGTGCTCACTCTCTAAAATAAATAAGTAAATCTTAAAAAAAAAAAAAGAAGACTGACAATACCAAGATACCAAATGTTGGTTAAGGATGTGGAGAAACTGGAACCCTAAATCATAGCTTTGGTAAATATTTCAGTGGTTTTTTTATGAGATGAAGCATACATTTTTATCATGCTACTCAAGAGAAACAA